ATATATATATATATGACTAATTATTCTGATTTTTTTATTTGTCTTGCTTGCAGTTATTATTTTAGAGATGTAGGTGCATTTGAGGCAGTGAAGTAGTGGCTCTATGTATTTTTCAGGTGTTTGACAAAATTGTGTTTTGTTTGTTTTTTCAAAAAATTGTGGGGAGAAGTTAAGTTTTGCAAACAGACTTGACTAAGTGCGGTGATTGTTAGAAAACTGCAGTTTGAATTTTAAAAAATAAAATAAATTTTTAATAGTCAAATTAGTTTTTTGAAGAGCAATTTCATTGCTTCTTCAAATAACATCAGCTGCTCCAAGCAGACTCTTAGTAGGTCCGGTTAATGTAGTTGTTTCTTGACGACTTGGATTTTCAAAATTGCTCGTCTTTATTTTAATTTTTTGGTGAGATATTTGTAATGAGAGATTTTTTTTTTTTTGTAATAAAATTTGTTTTAGTGGATCATATTACAAAAACTAATTTGAAATTTTAAAGAAAGGGAAAAACTATAATATTCAAAATAAGTTAAAAATAAAATATATTTTTTTCATCAGAATTATTCAGCTGTTATTTTACTGAAGCTGTCTCAAGTAAATCCTAATACTACACAAAATTATGTGATGAGTATCAAATTCAATCATTTAGTTGAATTTAAGTAAATGAATTTTGAAAATTGAACAAATAAGGTTGTGAAAAGTGAAGATTTATTTTCATATTTTAAAAAATAAACATTAAACTTGTGTGATTCGATTATAAGCATGTCAAAATTTAAGATCATCTAACTTTTCATTTAATGCTCTAAATTTTTTTATTATACTTTAAGTGTTTGATTTGAACATATTTGAAATTGGATTGAATCATTTTCAATGCTATCAGACTCGTTTTGTCTAGATGCTCGTTTTAACTGTAACTTTGTTGTAGTTATATATATATATATAATATGTTATGTTCCTCACATATATAATTGGTTTGAATGAAGCTTGGATGTAGAATACAGAACTATATTGAAGAAGCTATACATCTATTTGAAGAATGGATTCTATTGGAGCATATGTAGATCTCTTAGTTCTAATTTCTCTTTAAAGATATTTATAGAATAGAGAATGCTAACTATGCTACATAACTGGCTACACAGAAAAAAAAGAAATAAAAAAACATAAGAATGTGTGACATAGCAGTGTGCCCTGTAGATTTATAGGATGCCAAGATGTTGAGGAAGCAAGATGTCCCATCACCCCTTTAATGATATTGAACTAACATTTGAATGGAGTCAAGTGGGATCCAAATGTGGGTCAAGTATATGTCAACGTGGGTTGTGAACAATAAATCATAGTGACATCTACAACACATAAAACATCGCTATTAAGAAACTTAGTGTAACATCCCACGTCTTCAATCCCGTTCGAGGGTTTTTTTTTTCTCCCGTGCCCTTCTGTCCGTCTCGTCCTTTGCTCGACCGATGTTGCCCTAGGTCACTTCTCCCTCGCCTCTCCCTGGATTGCTTCTATCGACAGATCCCGACTGGTATCTTGCAATGTTATGTTATAATATTCATTTTGGGGGGTTTTTTCATTGCACTGGTTCTCTCTTTGCGGTTTTATGATTTTGTGGATTTCTTTGGAAAATTTTGTTGCGATAATTTACATTTTTTAGCTATTCGAGCTTCGTTTCTTAAGATTCACAACTATTTTGAGCATTAGGCTTCATTTACTACATATAAATTTTGGCTAGAGGTTCAGATATACATGTGACTTCAACTCTACCCTTGATGACTCATCATTTGCAAAACTGAGAATGAGAAAATTTTGCTTGAGATAGTAAAATTTATATTATCATATTTTTAATTATAATTTTAATAGTATTTTTTTCTTTTTTTAGTATACTTGATATCCACTATTATGTGAGGTTTGTATCTTCATTTTTACTGTTATGAAATGATTTTTTGCTTCTCAAGTATTAAATGTATCATTATGACAGTTTTGTTGCAAACAACACTACTGTTCAAGAGCATAATTGTCATTTATGCAGAAATAACTGCAAATCAGTTGTTTTCCAAACGCACAAACCAAATAATAAGCCAACTAGCTAATATTGCACTTTGATGTACTTGCTTTGTGTATATCTTCTTTAATTCCAGTCCTAGACAAAGATGCCAAAAGCTTGCCCCCTTTATTGTGCTGATAATATAATTTTATGTTTTAATAGCAGCTACTTCTAATGACGTAGGTATTAAAGTTTCTAATTATCATCTTCAAAGCTTCAGTAGGATTGAAACACAAGTGCACGTATCACTTAAGTAATATAGAATTTTCTTTTAAAACCTCAGTATCTATCCCACAGGGAAGGTGAAAACTCTTTTATGAACTGAGTGAAATTTTACTTAAATTCCAAACAATTATTTAGAAAATAAGGTCACAAGTTTATGTGTATATGGAAGTAACTAATTCCTATTAATTCAATTTCATAACTTAAGGAAAATACTAAATGTTTCTAAACTAACTTTACGTAGAAGAGTTCAAATTATATGAAAGTTTTTCCCCTTGTAATGCAATCATAATCAGTGTAGGAATCATATGTTTAAGGGTTTCAATGTAGTTTTGTGACAAATAGGAGCATACCTATTATTTACCCTCTTCCGAGTGCATAAAGAAAATTAGCTAACCTAGAGTTAAGTTCCTAAATCTTTTGTTATGTTGGGTAGGTTCTAGTCTGTTACTTTAGATTACCCATTGTGCCCACTATTTGGAGTAACCTAGCCTTAAGTTTCAAACTCAAGATCAAATTTGTTAAGGTTTTAGCATGTCACCCTAAAAGCACCACTAGCCTGTCACCCTAGAATTACCAATTTACACCAATCAAAATTTATCTCCCTATTTATTTGCATTAACCTATGGACTATCTTCTCACCCACTAGGTTAATGTGATTCTTACTAATTGAGGAATACATAGCCCTCTCAGGTCATTATGGATTCACAACAAGTTTTAATATACTAATTGACCAGACTGAATATTTAAATTAAGTACGAAGTAATGAATCATCACAAGTACGGAATAAAAGAAATCTTAAACAATTCTAGTCTTATACATGATTATTTTTTATTGCAATGAGAAAGATAAAGAAATCTACTTAGACTTCATGAGGATAATACAACAAAACATAATTTATATTAAAATTCAAGTTTACATAATAAAACAAAACTCAAACAAAAATACAAAGTACTTATCTTAAACTTCTCCCCAAGTAAATCCTCTGAAGTTCGTTTTACTTAGATTTCATGGGGATAACACAACAAAACATAATTTATATTAAAATTCAAGTTTACACAATAAAACAGAACTCAAACAAAAATACAAAGTACTTATCTTAAACTTTTCCCCAATCCTCTGAAGTTCCATTGATGACTTCTCAACTCTCCTTACAATTTCACTCTAAGAGAAACACAAACACACCAAAAGACTCACACCACGACTACTATTCAAAGACTCTCCAAGTCCCCCAACATACACACACACCACACGACACACCCTCATTGGTCTCTCTTGACTCCTTATATGATAACTCTCGAAATCCCCAAGAGTCACTTCGGATGCCTCTTCAAAATTCATCTAAATTCAATGCATAGTAATCAAAACTGATTCTCGCGCCTAGGCACCCAACTGTGGCGCCTAGGTGCTATCCTTCTAGAAACCAAATATAATTTTCTGGCGCCAAACCCTGACGTCATGGCGCATGGCTATCTATTTTCACGTACGGGTCTGGTGCCTAGGCGCTAGAAGCTGGGGCCTAGGCGCAAGTTTACTTTGTGCTTCTTTGATCCATTTGACCCCATATTGCTCCATTTTTGTTCATGTTTATCCAAAACTTCATATATTGTACCTGATTCTCGCGCCTAGGCACCCAACTGTGGAGCCTAGGTGCTACTAGGCGCTATCCTTCTAGAAACCAAATATAATTGTCTGGCGCCAGATCCTGACGTCATGGCGCATGGCTATCTATTTTCACGTACGGGGCTGGTGCCCAGGCCCTAGGAGTAGAAGCTGGGGCCTAGGCGCAAGTTTACTTTGTGCTTCTTTGAACCATTTGACCCCATATTGCTCCATTTTTGTTCATTTTTCTCCAAAACTCCATATATTGTACCTGCAACCAAAAACATACAAAATATCTTCCATTAAAGTGCAATATCATTAAAAAATGAGCATAAATTGTATATAATAAGTAGCACATTTTTAGGCATTGTGTAAACTTGAATTTTAATATAAAGTATGTTTTGTTATGTATATAAAAAGTATAAAGTGCAATATCACTAGCTTATCTGGATCAGCTGCTGATCAGCAACTTACCTGTATTAGCTGTTTATCATTAAATTATTGATAAGCTGTAGTTGCCCCAAACAGACCCTGATTTTTTTGTTTTCACATTTTTAACATTTAAACTAAACTTTTGTTTTTAACATTCTCAAATCTTTCACAGCACATAAAAAATGCTACTTGTTTAAATTTTAAATAGTGAGATACACCATTTCATGCATAGAAAAGTTTGTACATATATAAAATTTGAAGCTTAGAAGCTAAATATATGTGTAAATACATAGGAATTGAGCGGTATGTTAGTAAATCTTCCTTTCAATATTTTGCATTATTTTTTTATCCAAAATGCTAAAAAGAAAAAAGATTGTTGAAAGCCTTAAGGATGTATGATTCTTTATAATCAATGAAACCATACAATCCAGGAGAGATCATATGAAAGAGGTGGAATGAAGCTGAGAGAAATTTGGAGAGAGAGAGAGAGAGAGAGAGAGAGTGGTGGGAGCTAGTGCCAGAGAGCATCCTCTTCTCCCCTTTTAGGTCTAAGGAATAAAATAAAAAACTGCATTATAACTTGTATAGTACAAAGCCTGAGAAGACTTGTAGTTGATGGTATCCTTGGCATGGATACCAAGCAACCAATAAATGAACATACACATGACGATGGAACAGAGTTCTCTTCCTTCCACCTCAAAGAATAATTCTTCGAGCCTGGTGATGTAGCTAGGTAGCTTTACCGAACTCGGTAGGAAAATTCTCACCTAATACATACACGCTTAAAAAAAGAAATGTGCAAGCTCGGCTGGATGGCCTCGAGACTCAAGATCGATGAGCCAGATTGGAGGAACTCAGATGACGATGATGAGTTTTGGAGGTACTCACTATGTCCTTCTAAGCGTTAAGAAGCTCGGTAGTTTGTCACCTCTAAAAACACGGCTAATGAGTATGATTATCCTGGTCATAACCAAACCATTAAGTGTATGGCCAATGAATTCCATCTTATTGGGCGCATAGGACCCGCTTAATATTTGAGCTTTTTGGTTACTTGAGAAAACTTATCAATCATAATTTTGAGACATATCAATATATCTTTATTAAACTTCCTATGTTATGAAAACCTAATGCTCTATTATTGTCCTCAATTATTGATATATCACGAGCGCTACCCCAACTCCACCTAACTTCAGTTTTAAATTCTACCCAAAAATAGAAAAAAAATTAACGCTCAAATCATAACATCCATTCAATCAATTCATTCAATTGAAGGCAAACTCTCTTCCTCATCTTTTATCCCAAAGGCATACTGATATTTTGGAAGATCTGCATACATGTCATACACTTCTCATGTATTTACATATCTATCCCCTAAACTTCAAAATTTTTATTAATACCGCTTTATATATGCACGAAGATATGAATGACACTATAAAAAATTAACAATAATGATATTTTTTACGTGATATGAAAGATTTACGTGTTAAAGGCGGTAAAACATCAGTCTTTGTTTGACATAAAAATTCATAAGAATTGTCTGGTATGCATGTAATTGCCCCCTATTATTTTATGTCTTGGATTACCCTTTTGTCATGAAAAATGCAAAATGCAGAATTGCAGATGATCTTATTAAAAAAAGACAACATGGCCTGTTCTACATATGAGAAAAATATGATAAATGGAACCATCAAATATAATAAAAACTCCTCTCAGCAAATTTTTCCTGCTCTTCTTAAGGAGTTGGCTCCCTCATCCCATTTATGCAAAAAACAAGAAATAAATACTACATAAAAAGTTCAAATTAAATCATAGTGCAAATTTAACTACAAAATACATAAATTACAAATAGGAAGACTTAATTACACAGCTACTGAAACACATAAAAATTCTGAAAGCATCAAACCATTTATAATCTCACATCAACTGCATAAATTTGACTACTTGTATAATCTACAAGTAAAGAGAGATTCTTGGAATGACTCAGAGCCCTCTCTATCCATTGTATTACAAATATACCCTCGCATGCCCGGGCCATCCTCATCCTCCTCCTCCTCCTCACTATCATCCTCTCCATCATTCTCATCATCATCTTCAACTTTAACATCCTCATGATTTTCTTTCTTACTCTTCTTCTCTTCTTTCTCCTCATCACCATCCTTATCATCCCCTAATTTTAATTCTTGTTTAAAATCACTATGAAGAGACTCATCTTCATCCTCGACTTTCACAAGATGCTCATCATCACTATTTCTTATCCTGTTTTCATTGAAGTTCCCATGATTATGAATATCATCTTCATCTTCATTTTCATCTTCATCATCATCATCAGACGTATCAAACTCATCATCACTGTCATCAATTACTTTGATCGTGGCCTGATCTCCCAAAGCACACATAGGGTGGAGATCGAAGTCGCACACCTCGCAGAAATAGGACCATCCTTGCTTAATGACCCCACAAGCATCACACTGATAATGCCTCCAAGCTTTTACAAGCACATGTTTGTGCAACATGTGCTTAATCCTCTTGGGCCATTCAGCCTCCTCCTCCTCCTCCTCCTCACTATCCACCACCTCATGTCTGGCATCCAAAGCACAATCAGGATGGAGATCAAAGTCACACTGCTTGCAATAGAACGACCAATGTCGCCCTCTCTTCCCACAAGAATCACAAATGTATTCTCTCTTACTCTTCCAAAGCACGTGACTGTGCTCTTCATGTCTTATCTTCGCCGGCCAAAGCTTCGCTTTTTCCTCCATCTCAGCCTTGAGTTGCATCATTGACTCTTTAGTGAAAGGGTATGCATCAGCTCCATGTTCCATTATGAGGCTTCGTGCCTCCTTCGTGATAGTTTTGCCTTCGCGATTGATGGCTACGCATGAAGGAATGC